TCCCCCATATTATAATAATAAAAGTCGGACCGCTACCAACTCTCCTCTAGCAGGGCGAAATATTGCGCGCGGCTGGCACTCAGAGCCTTATGGGCCTCCGCAGGAGGACGACAGCTTCATTTGGGACCCAGACGGGACCCGTGGGGGGCGGGAAGGGGAAGGGGGGCGCAAGGGCTCCCCCCGCTGCAGCAGGGCCAGGGGGAGTAGGGGACCAGGGGACCCCCAGCCCAGCAGGGACCACAAGCGCTTGGATTTGATACTCGTGGACGCTTGGCGTGCGACCGCGTGGCGCCCCGCCTCGACGCCATGCACGATGATGATGAAGATGATATGGTTCTTCTAAGTGGTCGCCCGGCTGCGCCCCGAGCTGGCCTGCCGGACAGGACGGGCCCCGGACTTGCACGGAACAGACCTTGGGGGCCCGCGCGCTTGGTGCCGGCGGGGCGGCGAGGCGCGGCGGCCGCGGGGCCTTTTCTCACGCCCAGTCCATTGTGTGAAGTCGCGTCGCCATATCCGCCGCCGCAGACCGAGCCGGCCGGGCGGCGGTCAGTGGACTCTACCATGCATTAGGTCCTCAAAAAGACAGTCAACTGTTGAAAAAAAAAGAAAAAGAAATGCAAAAAAAAATGGAAACAAAGAACAACCCAACTAACTTTTTGTCTTATCTTGTCTGTTGCAGGTGACAAGCCCCACGCATGCGAGATCTGCCACAAGAAGTTTGCGCTCGCCTGCAACCTCCGGGCGCACATGAAGACTCACGAAGGTAAGCATATCGCACCTTGCAAAAGACCGTCGTCGCGATTTCCCTTCTCCCCACAACACCTCGCCGCGCTCCGGTCCCTCGCGGGTCGCGCGAGCATCGCGCACATCTCCTCGGCGCGGGAATGACGCGCGCGTGACGCGCGCAGCCTTCAACTCTCTTTACGGCGCTAACGATCCCGCTTGAGTGCGCGATTGAGTGAGAACACACATCGCCACCGCATCCGGCCGCCCGGCGCCGCCGCGGTCGCGGTGCTGAGGTGACCGCCGCTTCGCACGCAGCTACCGGCCGGGCCAGCCGCAGCAGCCCAGAGCCCGATGGCACGGCCCTTCCAATCCATAACTCGACTTTGCCACGATAATATATGCCCCGCCGTTACGACGGGCGGCCGTCGCGGCCCCGCGGGGCGACGGCCAGGTGGCCACCCAGCGGGGAGGGCGCGCCGGGCCGCCCCGCCCCGCGCAGCACCGCGTAGCACCGCGCGCGGCCGGTGCCCACCAGGCCTCCGTAGGCCCTCTAAAATGGCGTGCGCCGTGGCCGTACTACTCCCGGTAATTGGCGCCCATAACATTTAAAGCAAACGTCGTTGTCCAGGCAGACATAATCGTACATAGCCGGGCAGGTGCGGCCGTGCTGGCGCGCAGCTCGCGCACTCGCCATACGGAACGGAAGTCCCTCCGCCGCTCGGCTCCCCGGCCGATAGATAAACCCGCGGAGGCCAGCGGCCCGGCCGGGGCGCCATGGGATCCTCGGGCGCCGTTCTCTCACGCGGACGTGCGTCCCCTCCCCGCGCGGCCACATGTCCGTGGCATCATCACCGTCGTCGCCCTCGCCGTCCTTAACCTCAACGCCTCGGTGACGTCCCTAACCTCAGTTTGCCCTTTCTTGTTGCTGCAGGTGAGCCCCACGACGAGTGCACCCAGTGCGGGAAGCCGCTGCCGGCCGGGAGGGCGGGCCTCGGCGCCGCCCGCTGCGCCTCCTGCGAGGGCCCCACCAAGGACGCGCTCAACTCGGGCGGCGACTCGGGCAGCGAGGAGTCCTGCAGCGCGAGCGTCGAGTACCGCGACTAGAACGACTGATCTACACTTACTTTCAGCCCTTTCTGTGATTCTTTGTATTAATTTATGTGTGTTGTGAATGTGTGAGTGAGTGTCGTGCGTGAATGTGTCTTTTGTGTGTGAGGATGAGGAGGAGAGGAGGATGTTATACCGGCAGCAGCGCTGGAATGCCAATATGATCTCGCGCCGTGTGGAGGTCCTGGAGGTCCGTCTCCTGGAGTATCCAGGGCGTGTGTCCTGGACCCCGGCGAGGCGTGGCCCGCGGACCTGGATGACTTTGCTCAAGAAGCGCAGCGCCTTCGATGTACAAAAACAACTGACATAGGGGAGCCTATGCCGCAATGTGTTCACGGGCAGCCCTCCCCGTTGCACTGATGTACAGTACAGTTAGGTCTCTTTTGTACAGATCAGCACCCACGTCACCGTTTCTGTTGTATCCGCACAAATATGTTCTTCCACCTCTATTTATTTCCAATCAGAGTTTAATGTTAACAGGGTCTGTACTTAAGATTTAGTTTTCTCCCACACGGACGTGTGTGTCGCTGTTGTATAGTCTGTTTGGTGAAGTGTTGGACCTTTATCTGAGAGTGCAAGAAAACTTAAGCAGAGCCCCGTCTTCAATTTTGCAGACGCCCAAATTATCCTCAATCTCATCCACCTTTTGTTTTATTTGTTTCGGCTGAGCGCAAAATTGATGACGGGCTTCGCCTTTGTTGAAACAAGGCAGGTTTTAGTGACAAATTGCTGTTCAAAATTTTCGAGCGTTTCCAGGCAGTTGGCCGTGTGTGAGCGCGCCGCTCACAACAGGTAGCGAGCCTGCCGTGCGCGGGATAAATCAAAATACCAACATAACAAATTAAGTAGAAAAACATGTAAAATGACCGGAACCCCAGTCCGGGTTGGCTACAGCCCGTAACAAGTGAAATATGATCTCAGGAAACTAATGTACCGACTCGTCAGTCCGAAAATGAGTCCAAGTTCAGCCTTTCCCCCCGATGTTGTTCAGGGCATGTAAAGTCTTGGCAAGCACGCGCAACGCGAGGACGGCAGCAGTTTGTCATGGGATGCGTCTCTCTACTTCTAGTATCTCAACAACTGTAACCCTCTAGTCACAGTCTAAGTAAATATATTAAATCTTCTACAGATATATATTTTTTGATGTACATACATACGTGAAATGTAAAATAAACTGTTATTGTAATCTGAGAGAACGGTTTCGCTTTCGCCACACCCTTTTCCGAACATTTTCATTAGAGATATGCAAAGTTACAGAACAGACCGAAAAAACAACAACAACATAACACGACTTCTCGACGGTTCGCCTACTTGAACACGGGTGGACGGGTGGGTCGTTGAGAGCGAAACAGATTAGACCCCTCGTTCTGAAAGTATATCTAGAGCCAACCAGTTAGTTGTGTCCGGGATACGTCCTGGCACGCAACAGGTTCCACGCGCTCATATGCAGTACACACAGAGCCGGAGAAAAAGAGAGAGAGGGAGGGAGAGAGAGGGAGAGAGAGAGGCGCGCGCACGCGCACGCACTTCAAACCGGTACGGAAGACTCTCAAACAACACGTACGAGCAGCACGGAGGTGACACTGCAGGGGTCGGAGGCGGCCCTAATTCAATACCCGCACCACACTTTCGTGGAATAAGCGTTCAACTGGAGGTTGATCCGGCGCGTGTCTAAATCCCCCCGTGTATCCCCATAGCGATCACGGAACAAACGCGGAACTCGACTGAGAGACAAGGGTCCCTGCGATGTGGGAGGGGGTGCCTCCCCCCGGTGTACCCTTTCCTTCCCCACCCCCACGAACGCTAACCCGGCCGTCTCTGTCCGTCTGTTCATGAACGGTGTTTTGTCGGATTAGGGAGGGGCTGGGGCTGTGCGTCGTGACTGACAGCCCTGCGAAACATTGGCAGGCCTGCTGCCGGCCTGGCCTGTTGCGGTGGTGTGGCAGGCCTTCTGGCCGAGCTGACCGTGCTGGCCCTGCTGGCCAAGCTGCGCGCGGCGGGCCCGGCCAACCTGCGCGCCGGCCAGGCCCGCTGCTGGTAATATGCATAAACGGCGCGAAAGCAGCGCTCTAATGATATCAGGGCGACGTGGATGAAATACGGGCGCCGTGTCGCCCGCGGCTGCCCATGCGTGTTTTAGAGAGGGGGCTGTCGCAGTCGCTCAGATTGGAGATGAGTGGAGGGGGGAGGAGAGGGGGAGGGAGGCCTGCTGCCGTGATGCATGCTGATGAGTTGTCAGGAGGGGTCAGCAGGGACCAGCAGGGGCCAGCAGGGGCCTGAGCATGCGTCGGACCCGACGGAAGGGGCGAAGCGAAGGGCGCGCGGAGACCTCGACGCGCGGATGGGGATGAAACGCTGGCCACGACAACAACTCGTTCTGTCCCCCGCAACCCCCGTTGGGCCAGAACAATACGATAGGAAAGGGAGAGGGGGGGGGGAGAGGGAGAGAGAGGGAAAGAGAGAGAGAGGGGGGGAATAAGAGAGAGACACAGAGAGAGACAGGGGGAAGAGAGGGAGCAGGCCGAGAGGCGGCGTTGACGAGAATGGAAGCTGAAGTGGGGGAGGGGGGAGAACGTATTTGGACCCGCGAAACCATATACTTAGCACCAGTAAACGGGAGCCAAGGCCAAAACGGGTAAATCGGGAGGAAACCGGACGACATCCGGAAACAGAGCAGCAGCACCTGCAAGGACGCCACGCCCCGCGGTCGACCGCGGCGGCTCGGGGACGGGTCCTTGCAACAAAAGTGTTGTGTTCCACCTGTTTATGTGTCTATGCCGGAATGCGCGCGGCGCCGGGAGAGGCCGGGCTCATTAACAAGCATGCGATACTACCAGCGCCCCCCCCCCCTCGCTGTCTGTGTGTGTCTCTCTCCCTCTCCCTCCCTCTCTCTCTCTCTCTCTCTCTCTCTCTCTCTGTCTCTCTCTCCCGGTCCCGGCCCGCGGCGGCAGTGCGCGCCCGCGAGTGCGAGCGAGACCACAGTAAGGGCGTCGCACGCCACGCCAAAAGTGAATATCCCCGGCGTTATACCGCCCGGTCCGGCAGGTTACGGACGGCGGCGCGGCTCAGCAGAGAGTTTGTCGCAGCGGCGGGGCGGGGCGGGGTCTGGGCGAGGTGTCGACGCCCAGGACCAATAATTACGGGCTCGAGCCGAGTGACACCGCCACGCTGCGCCGGCCTCGCACCAGGGTAAGGCACTGGTTGACACTCTGCCAGAGCAGCAAAATAGACTTTCTAGGATAGAGGAAGGTTGCTCTGAGGTATCGCCTCTGTCTGTCTCTGTTTCTGTCTTTCTGTCTCTCTCTGTCTCTCCCGCTCGCTCGCTCGGCTCTGCTCTGGGCGTGGTCGGCCGGACTGACCCCCGTCCCATAATTTGCCATAGACACGGACACTGGCTAATGGCCGTAATGGGCGGGGCATGGCCGAGCGTTACTTTATTCTAAAACACGCCAAAACGGTCTCCAGAGCAGGCCGCTCTGCTGCTGCGCTGCTGCTGCTGCGCTGCCGCCCGCCGACCCGACCGGTCACATAATATTCCAAATTAAGATAATGACGTCAAAAGTGGCCCTTGATTATCGGAAAAAGAGAGGCATACCGCCTCGTCCGCTCCCGTCCACATCCCCGGGCCGGGACCGGTGCGAGACGCCACCGCAGCGCGGGCTGCCGAAAACCTACCCTTCCGGCGACCGAGGACGAATACAGCGTTCAGGGGGGCGAAAGGGGCGGCAGAAGCTTTCGCCATGGTCGCACAGAGCCCTGAAGGGTCGTCGCAAATAAGGGGACAAAAAACCTTGGAAGAAAACCGTAAGAGACTCCCACGGGGTCCTGGCACAGCACTACCTCGAGCGTCCCGTCATAATGGGAGCTACCGCTTGACCCAGCCCAGTACGGGCCTGATCAACGAGACGACATAGGTGGCGGGGCGTGGCGGAGCGTAGCGGAGCCGCTGTCCGGCCGGGGCGCTTGCGGCCGCCGTCCCGTCGTGTTCGTGGCGCTCGCAGTCTGCTATTAGTCCGCTCATCATGCCTCCCATAAAATTGCACACGTCCCTGGCGTCGCCCCGTCCGTCCCGGCCGTCGCAGCCGGGGCAGCGCGGAGCAGCAGCAGCAGCGCCCAGCCCGTCCTCCGGGTTCTACGGCCGGCCGGCAAGAAAGTTCTCGAAATGCAGCAGCAGTGGCAGCCAGAGCACCAACAGCAGCAGCAGCGGCTGCTGCTGCAGGAGGAGAGCGACAGCGAGGCGTCAGGCGTCACGCAGAGGTGCGGCCGCGCTGGTCGGTGTGACAAAACCGCGGAATACCACGAACCGATCAACGGCGTCTGCGGTACGGCTTGTCAAACGGCGTGGCCGGGACTCGCAGCGCCCGGGGGAGGGTTCCGACAGGACCGCGCCCTGCGGCCCGCCGAG